AGTAGATCAGATCCTGCTCATAACAGACTTCCTACCTTTGTAGACATTTCAGAATGATCAGTGAGACTTGCTTTAACATTCTAAACAAATGAGTAATTTAACGTACCAATGTAATCTGTTTCCATGATATTCACCATATTTATAGAGTCTTGGGCTGGTAGCTTGGACATTGTCTTACAGTCTCCCAGACAGAAGTGATTAAAAATCTTTATAGAATGAGATAACTTCAGAAAGATACAGACTAGCCCAGTGCAGGAAAAGAAAATTGTCACCTGTCAAAAGYCTGCACTGAAATACCACTCCATCTCAGCCATCCTATCAGACTTGTAAAAATCCATTTGCTGAAGCATGTCAGGAATATCATTCTAATCTGTCACGTAAGTGGATGGCCCTAGGACTGTTTTGAAAATAGCATATACTGGTTGAGAACAAAAGCATAAAGGTGACCACCTCTTCCCCCTCKTTTATTGCCCTTCTCTCTACCCAATTAACACCTTTGGAAGAACTGCCAAAAGTACCGTTGGCAGCTGCCTGCCGACAGGTCATAGCCAGCCAGAATCAGAACGTGTAGCGAGGGCTGTTACTTCAGAGCCAGCAAGAACTGCAATGTTCCCAAGCTGGGTTTTCCCACACAATATTTAAATTAATAAAAAATTATTGTAGTATATTCTTTTTCAGCTTATTCTAACATCAGTTACAAAAAAAAAAAAAAAAGCAGTGATTTCATTAAAGTTGGTTTTCAAAGTATTTCAAAACCAAACCAGTATAGTTTTCAAACATAGTGTTTYCCCATTCACAGCACAGTCTGAAAAATGCAACTGACTTAAATTTTTACAGGACAAGAGCAGATTCAGARGAGGAGTAATCTAGAAGCTAAAGGCAGAAAGCATAATAAGAGAGCCAACAAGTATGTTCAGTAGACAACAGCTTCTCTTTGGCCACTGCTGGGATCTTTGCTCATGCCCTTCCCTATCTCACTGSCCAATCCCATCAATAGTAGCACAACTTCATATTCCTCAGGAAGTCTTCTAGTGAGGAGAGCACTCAGTTCAGCAAATCTTGGGACGTAATAGATTGGGTTGCTTACRTAATAATACTGATGGAGCTACTTAGATATTTTAGATCCTATACAAGTACTTCGTACTTTTGCCAGAAAAACAAAGTCATCCAAGTAAAGCTGGTTCAATTACTAGGACATCTTGGTGAAAAAACATACAGGAAATTAAATAAGCATGCCAATTAATTCTTTCATGATAAAAATCCAAGCAGGTTTTGATCCCAAGTGAGGGCATACATATGAATGAAACCACAAATTAAATACAAATCTGACTTTGTACAAATAGTACTTTGTACTAAAGTATGCTGGGGAGGAAGCTTTTTAGGGATCCTAAGAGAAATAAAAGCTTAGTCAATAGCCAAAATTCAAGATAAGCTGGCTAGAATCCAAGTTTTTGTAATTTTTAATGACAAAAAAATTAAATTTATTAGGAAACAACCTAGTCCTCATTTTTATATGACTATGCATTTCCTAAATAGATTTGGGTTTTATTTTACAAATGGATCTTTGAAGTGAAGGAAGATATGAATACTGTAGAGCTCTTAACCAGACATACTATTTACATATTCTTYTTACACCATAACCCAGTATAATGCAGGATAATTGATAACATATAARCATTCTTGTCATGTAAAACTTAAGAATTAGAAGTTAAGAAAATTTAACCAAAATTTATCTAAGTATATCAATTCCCCATCGGGCATCCATCTACCCTATCCCATCGACTAACAAGAGAGCAGGTCTGGCATAAATAACCATCTGGTGTGTTTTAGCCCTTAGCAGCTGTTCCTGTTTTATGTYGACAATTTCCCAATGAGAACCACTGATAGGGCAGGTTTTAGTTAGGGTTGCAGGTGTGTRACTGAGTTATTGCTAGAGAATAAAATGAGGGTGTGAGTAGCTTATAAAGACTCCTCTGTCTGCCCTATAAAGCTCTCCTCCTCCTTCATCTTTTGGGTGGGGAGGGAGTGAGTAGTGGCTTTCCCTAAAATTAAGGTAAAAAAGACAAATTATCTGCTGTGAGGGTGGAAGTTTAGTTTTTAATTGCTCTAGAGTGGTTGGTTATGGTAAGAGGTGTCAGTCAGTGGTTTCTCAACACCTAATGTTTATGTGGATTGAATTTAAAAGTAAGGTTTGCTTTTTGTATCCCAGGACAGGTCCTAAAAATACAAAAATGCTATTTACTGGGGTCCTTAAGGGAATAGTTATCCTTTTGAAAGAAGAGATTGTGCTACCTGCAGTAGGAAGGGTGTGTTCTGCTCTGTGTAATCTTAATATATTGACCCAAGGGAGGTTCGAMTATTATTTATGAATCTTCGGTGTGATTATTGGTAGTCACCTAAACAAAATTTGTTTAAAAAGGTTTGAAGAATGAAATGTTCTTAGTGCATAGAGTCTGGTAGACTGTCAGGCTTTGTTCTGTGTGTTGTATGTCAATATTTTCTCAAAGTGCTATTCTTGACCAGTATATGATATATACAGGTTTTATGTTGGTASCTGTAATAAGGAGCTAAAATAAGAGGAAATAGTTATCTTTTCAGCAGGCATTTTAATGCATGCTTTTAGAGAGTGATCATTTATAGCAAGTAATCTCTTCTTACAAAAAAAGRGAAAGAAATTTGATTTTCACAAGATGTGATATCTTGCCAAAAGCCTTGACTTCTCTAGCAATGCAATTCATGTAAGCTATTTGCCTTTTCCTCTTAAACTAAAAAGACATCTCTATCAGGTTAGCTGAAAACTTCAAACTGGGTCTTAAGGAAACACTCAAGGCTTCTCTTTTTAAGACTACTTGACCTTTGGGACCTGATTCAGCAGCTCAAGGACACATGGGGCTGGGAAGGAGTGRTTTGAAAAATATCAAACAACTTAACTGGTTGGAATCTGATCATGCTTTTGCTTCAGTATGTAAACAGAAGTCTTATTTTAAGATAGGGAAGAGTCTCATGTGACTAGGGAGAAGGGGAGATGGAGGGGGAGGTAGTGAGAGAGGGATTGACAAAAACACAGACTTTTGTCTGTCTTTAGAAGGTGCRGTGTTAGCTCTCTTGTTAGCATGGAAGTTAGTTTCCACAGAATAAATTAAGGTTCTAGCATCTAGGCCCAAGATAGTGTTTTGTACACAAAACTGCTGTCTCTTGGTTTCCTTGGCACTCTTGATGCCAAGTCTGAGCTTTTTTTTCTAGGCTCTACTAATGTTCAAGAAATTAGACATTATATTATGCTCTTGTTGAAGTTTCAAATGTTGTTATTCATCTGCTTGTTGCTATAAGACTTTTTTGTTAAGTTCAAACCATACTCTTTTGCTTCCTGTCTTCAATTTCTAGTCTCAGAGTTTCAGATGGGGAAGGTGAACAGCTTGCACTTGATATCATCTAGTGTGGGGTTTTTGGCAGAAAGAAGCAGGAAAAAATGATAGTATGTCCTAATAGTTGAAAATAGAGTATGATGGACTTGGCTGTGTTGCGAGGCACTTAAAACTRCCTCAGAACTTTTCTTCTAATGCTGGCCAGTTATAGAAAAGGCAGATCCTGTATGTGTCTGGATTTTTTTGCCTTTTAAGATAGATGCACTGTGAAAAGATTAGCATTTAGCTAATGTGGGTGGTGATGTAAATAATATTGACTCTTAGTAGTTAAGGTGTAAGATGTATAGAGTTTAACTTAAGCCTTTCATCTTTTTTGGTTTGTTTTAATTTCCTTTCTGAGCTTTTGCTGGTGYAAGAAATGTCATTCGGCAGGAGAAATGTTTTCAAAGCAGCTGCTCTTGGGGCTGGATGAAGCTATGTGCTGTTTGGGGATGGGAGTGCAWGCTCTTTGAAGCATGAAACATATTGGGGTGGAGAGAATGGAGGATGCTACTTGGTTTTTTGTGAGTGTTGTTATAAAATGTTTGGATATCTGTAGTGTTGGAAAGAATGAAGAAATTCCAGCTTCTGCAGCTGTTATTCCCTTCATTCTCATGCTCTTGTCCATCCTTTCCTCYCCCACAAGACAACACGATAGTTGGAATTTACTTGGCCTCCCTATTCTAAGTTCAGTATAAAACTTTTTTTGTTTTTCAAGTTCTAGTCCTTTCTTGTKCCAGATGCTACCACCTGCTCGTGTGTCTCCATCTGAATAAAAGAAAGGCAGAATCTGAAAAGGTRCACCTAGCAATAAAAAGTACATTTGCATCTATTCTTCATGTCAGGCAGATGTTATTTTCCAATGCACATGAACTCTAAATGCGTGCAGAAAACGCTAGAAAACAAAAGATGTTGCTTGCACAGAGGGAGAACAATACAGGTGCTGAACTGTGCTACTGCATCAACAGCAGGTGTCTGGTGAGCTTGCCCCTGGTTTGTGCCAGGGTCCAGGGGGGGCTCTGCACTGACCAGAAGGACAATGCCAGTACTCCAGGTGGCTCTTTTGGAGCTTGTTATGGTTATCTCTAACAGAAAGTACCAAATGAGTGGTCAAAGAGAGCAGATAGGCTGCTATCATACTTTCCCTGAGAGGAAATAAATTGCAGCAAGATTGATAAACACAAAAATGCAACACATTTTGTGCTCTATTTTTAGTGCCTCAGCACCTGAGACCAAACAGTTTATCACTGTTAGCTTCTGTGTAAGGAAGTAGCTGGGACTTCAGTATTTTAAGGGGAAGTATAATGACTTATGGTGCTTCTGTTCAGGAAAGGAGGCTATTGGACCTTTTTAGGAGAAAGGTAGGATGTATTCCTAGACTCTACAGATACAGTATATCCAAATATGCACTTTAAAAAAGTATCTTGCTTAAAACACCAAGGTATGCCTGTAGTTACAGTATTGACATTCTGCAAACAGAAGTGAACATGGAAACAGCATCAAATCTRGATATCCTCTCTGAATGCTTCTGTTTTGTTCCCTTCAGGTTAAATGTGTAATGATCTTTGAACAAGTGGATATACAAACTCGCTAAAGATGTCTGTTCAAAGCCAACACAGTGCCAATATTATTAACCCTCCTCCACCAGAATACATAAATAACAAAAGAAGTGGATGTCAAACAAACCAGCTTCAGTACTTACAGAGGGTGGTCATGAGAGCCATGTGGAGACACAACTTTTCCTGGCCGTTTCACCAACCTGTAGATGCAGCAGCACTGAATCTTCCTGTAAGAACTATTTTGGAATTGGAGTATTAATATATAAATTATTTACAGGACTTATGAATTAATGCTAAACAGGTTTTTTTCTGATGCAACAGATTATGGAAGACTATTTTTGTTATTGAACTGCTGTTATTAATCCAAGTCTCCAAGAAAATTATTTTCTTTCTAGAGAAATGYTCCATTTCTGCCCATTTGTTTTCTGATCTGAGACTAGTAAATCCGTATTTTTAAGGGATGATAAAAATAATGCTTAAACATGCCTTTTAGAGTTTCTGTATGTTGGTGTTCTGTCTTGTCTTCTGGTTTAAACATATTTACGTTTTGCATATGGTAAGTATTTTCTTTTGCCTTTGAGTTTTTGATTTTTAATATTAAACAGCCTTAATGTCATATACTTTGATGGAAAAGCAGATCTGATTGACCCTGCAGTAAGCAGGCAAATTTTGATCCATCTTGTTGCAGAGAAATCATTACACCTGTAGCACTTGCTAATTTCAAATCATTTTGCTCTGAAGTTTCTAGAGGAAATAAATGTCCCTGCTAAAATAGGGAAATAAAAAAAGATATGGTTCTCATCATACCATGGAACATTTTTCCACWAAATAGAAGATATAATGCTTAAATTCTTGTTCTGTACTGCTGTGTGTGTGGTTTTTTTATGTTACAACTCAATTGTAACAAAGTACATGACTATAATGTCTTGTGACACATAATTTTAATTCCGGTTTTTTAGACTCCAGTTTTAGATGTTTTTTCAATCAAATGAAAACATAGGTTATTGGCACAATGGTATTTTAAATTACTTGGAAGATACTGCTCTTGGTAGATAAATAGAAAGGTGTTAAATAAAACTGTGATACATTTCTTTTGATTATTTTCTTTTTTCCACCTCCACCAGCTTAAGTATTGATATTTCTTTCAAATTTTCAAGACTAATTCTACAAAMTCACTATTTCTGTTTCATAGCAGACAAAAGCTTTTATCCATGGCTGTTTCTTGTGACAAACTCATTTGGTCAGTTTGTACAAAAGCACAGTCAAAGTGACTATCTTTTTGTGTCTTTTCTTACCCTTTTTCCTTCTTGCACAGAGCTGTCAGTTAAGGTTAATATTAAGGGGTATTCCATCASAGTTGTGGCAACATTTGCAGCTGGCCTTAGGCCCGTTCTGCCTCTCTGGATTTCTAAGGCAGCCACTTGACTTCTAAGAGTATGTGTTCAGCCATTGCAGAGTAACAAGCAAATGTCTGGCTCCATGGCAAGGACAATGAAAGTATTTGCCTCTCTTGCATTTCTCCTCCAAATGTTAGAAGGTGCAGAATGGACAATACTTAATTATTAATTGCTTTTTTTGTTTCGGTACATTAAATAGCCTACACTCTGATGTATTCAGCTTTTCTATTTCACCAACACAGATTGTTAGGATAGCTTTAGAACACTCTAGAAGTAGTAGTAACTTTGTGCAAAATGCATATGTGAACTTARTGGGGATGTTTCCATTCCAATTTCTTAAATCATCAGGGAAACAGCCTCATGATCTCACTCACAAGGTTTTAGCCACGCTATTAAAATAATGATAATAGTTCTCATTCCAGCTGCAATGTTCACTAGACCAACACTAAGAGGAGAGCCAATGTAGCCAAAGATAAAGTATTTGGACAGTAATTGTGAAAATTTGGCAGCTTCTTTTTGTTAGYGACTGAGACTTTGTTGAAGTTTGCCTTTGGCTTCTTTTTCCTCTGTTCTGCAAACTGGAGTGCTACTTGGTGCAAATGGCTTTGAGATAACAAATGAGAAGTGCATACACTTGTCATAAGTACAACTGCCAATGCAGCTCTGGAGCCTATTAAAATAAATATTCTTTGGGACTTTAAATGGTATTGTTACATGGAAGAAGGAGGAAATATAAGGTGAAGAGTTCTTGAACACTTACTTTTTTGGTAYGTATGACTGTAGGGGAATGTTTTCCTTTAAATAAAACAGTGCTTCTAACACAAAGCAATTCTCCTCTTTTGAAATTTAGTTTTCATAACTGAGTCAGAATTTTTGTGTCCTAATTTTAAGATACCTGTTTGGTGATTTATTCTTTCAATATCACAGGATTATTATACTATCATAAAGAAACCTATGGACTTAGGTACCATAAAAAAGCGTCTGGAACACAATTACTACACAAAAGCTGCAGAATGCATTGAAGACTTTAAAACTATGTTTTGGAACTGCTACATGTATAACAAGGTATGTGAACCATCCACTCTTACCAGTAACTGATTCTGTTGAATGATACAAACAAGTCTAAAACAAGCGCATGGTTATTAGAACATGCAGTAYGTTAGTCAACATTTTCATAATTTTTTTGAAATTATTTTCTCTGAAATGTGGGGAAGCTTTTTTGCTAGGATTGACTGAGGACATGTAAGTGAAGTCTAGCTTGCTGCTCCAACAACTGAGTGCAGAGTCTTTTCTGCACAAGGACACCACATCCAAAATCTCTGGGGTTCAGCCACAGAGCTCATGAATAAGAAGCACCATGTAACTGCTGCACAAGCTTAAGGCTAGCAAACCTGAGCCATGCTCTGTTTCTTCAACAAGTTGAACCTAATGAAGTGTTAGCATCTCCCTATGCTTGGCTATTTGTTGGCTGTGTCCTAGTATCTTTGAGCTACAACAGCYTCTTCAGAATACAGGAGTAAATGAAGGAGTTGCAGATCTGCCCCCAYTGGCCTTTGCTGTAGAAGTAAGCAGATGTAAAGGAGGATGTTTCAATGGCAAAGTAATTTGCTTTAAAGTGAGTTGCAGGGGTGAGGATGGCAATGATTTCTAGACACTTCTGTTACTGGTGTTTTTTTTTCACTTTGTTGGGGGAGGATTCTTTAGTCTGGTTGTTGTATGAGATAGCTCCCATTACTGCAGCCTCTGCTTTATGCATGTTACTGATCATATTTTGCAGCCAGGTGATGACATTGTGTTTATGGCTGAAGAAYTAGAAAAAGTGTTTATGCAGAAAATAGCCCATATGCCACCAGAAGAAAGACTAGTGAATCTCAATAAAGGGAAGAGAAAAGGAAAGAAGACAGAAGGTAAGGCCTGTATTATATGCTGAATTTGTTATATATTATGCAARCAAAACCGGAAACGGGGAATCCTCTCTGTCACAACTCAACCTTGGAATAGTTTGAGTGTTCTCTACTCTTTCCAGAACAATCAGACAAATAACAATACTGCTATAAGTCTTTAGAAGATTTTTTAATTATTATTTAAAGATTTTTTGTTTGTTTTTTTTAGAAAAGGGAACTGACTTCCAATTCAGAGTCACACTGCTCAGCATTGCGTTATATCAACTAATAGGGGTGAATATCTGTGGGAGCTAAACAGAGTAACAGCTGAAAAAGACATGAGTAATCTGACCAGCCAAACCAAATATAGAAAAGCATTGGTCTAAACTGTTCACAGATCTCCGTGGTAGAGACCTGTAGTATTGCCAAGCAATATATACTGGTATTAACTATGCTTAGGAAACATAAGCCTTCATGATGCAGTGTGCACCCTTCGCTGCTTGGTCTTTATGTGTTTGTAGAAAACAACTTRTTTCTTTCCTTGGCAAGAACATTTTTATAATGTACAGGCTTTAGTATGATGCCTCTTTAATCTTTGGTCTGAAGCTAATCCACACCTTCTTGAAGCCAAATAATGTGTAACTTGGCACGATGTTCTAGCTGAAGCACTAATGGTGCTGAGTAGAGGATACCAATRCTGCTGTAAGTAACAAACGCTCTTGTTTGCACTTGTTGATGCCATTCGTGTATATGGTTACGTTAAGAACTGGTCAATTTGACCATGAAAGAAATTAACTGCAACATTTAAGACCTAACTTTTAAAATGTCCTGTATTAAAATAACCAGAAACACCCCAGCCCAACCCTGGGACTTCAAATGAACAAAGAACAAATGAGCTACAAGCTGAAAGCAGTGAGCAGCCTCCAGTGATGACTCAAGAGCGACAGCAGGTTACGTTGGCTCCTTTGTCTGCAGCTCAGCTGGCTGCTTTAATGCCAGCTGCAGTCTCTATTAAAAAAGTAAGTTTCCTCAAATAACTTTCAGAAAGAAAGATGCTGAAATTGCTCCTTCAGGCACTGATGACAAAACCTTAGGAGCCATGCTTATTGCCATATCTTTTTGAAACTTCTATTGTAATAGAAGTTAGCAAAATATCTCTATTAAATCTTCTACRTCTCTGCTGAATAACTGGGCCAGTACTAATTCTAGAAACCAAACAGAAATTGGGATGATTGCTTGGCACATCCTTTCTTATAAATGTGGTTTTAAAAATGTTGCTCTCAAAGAAACGTAATTAATTTCAAGATAATAATTCTTGAAGTGCATTACTGAATACGCTTCTGCAGGCTTCACCTTGAGCAGAATGGTTTTAATACCAAAATAGAGCTTTTTCTAGGTTATATTTAATAACTTCTCATGTTTTTTATGTAAATCAAATACTTGACTCTCTAAAAATTAGCATGTTTGCTTAAACCTTGTGTGTAGCCGGGAAGGTGTTTGTGGCCCACAAAAGCAAATTCTTGTTTACTTCAATCTGAATCTTATGTAAACATCTGAAAAAAAATTCCTTTATAAACTAAGTTTTGGTTTTGCTCTTCCAATAAGGAATAGGTACTTTTGCCAGGCTCTCCTATAGTGTATATTTACATTTTATTCATGTAGTCTGAACACTGATGACAAAGCACACATTATATGGCTTCCAAACCAAATACTACCCAAGTTAAAGAAAAACAGAGATAAGCCTTGTACATAAGGCCCTCAACCAAGTCTAAAATGAATTGCAGTAGTTTTTTCCCCTTCCTGTGGCTGTCAGCTTGAAGGTGATTTCATAACCTACCAATTTTCTGTAATCTTCACAAATGGCTAAAATCTGACCACAGCCTGACTTGCAGTACATCTCCTTCTTTCCTTTACATCTAAGACTGAGCTCGGAGTGCTGATCTTGTAATACCTTGTAGGTTTTTAGTCTAAGTTTGTGGGATTGCTGCATTCTGCTCTGACTTCAATAGCTGTAAAAGTTTGGAGACTTTTTTGGRCTATACACACATAAAAGAATAATCCAAAACTGACCATTCTCTTACTGTTCTGGATGCCTGCATATTTTTTTCTTTTCTTAGGCAAAAAAAGGGGTGAAAAGGAAGGCTGACACTACAACTCCTACTACTTCAATAGGCACAGCAAGTGGTGAATCTTCAGCAATATTTAATGAAAGRAAAGCCATTAAAGCATGTGGGGGTGAAAATGAATGTGTGGTAACAAATAAGCTTTCGAAGAGATCCTTTTCAGATTCTCAACAGCCACSTGGAATTAGTAAAAAGATTCAGTTGTCAGAAAAACTAAAACACTGTAATGCAATACTCAAAGAAATGTTTTCAAAGAAACACGCAGCGTATGCGTGGCCTTTCYTAAAACCTGTAGATACGGCATCTTTCTACACTGGGGAGAACCAAGCCATTGCCAAATGTCCTACCAACCTAGGAACCATTAAAGTAAGTATGTTTCAGGGGAATTTAGACTATTTGTATAATTACAAGGTTTTAAATGTGTTACCTGAAAGGTGTCATGAAAGCTGCTTCTCCTTTGAAAGACACAACAGGCCTAGAAAGCAGATACATTTATATCTCTAAAACTTAGCCAAGGTCACTGAAGTAAGTCTAAGTCTCATYGTGACTAAACACATAGTGGCCAATCTACCTAACTGCTGACCAAACTAATACAAGTGGCAAGGGAATTATATTCTCCATGAAGCCCTTCCAAGCTGTCTGTACACACAGYGCTGTTGTTAATGTCCTATAAAACAACATGCAATTCTGTCAACTTCTGCTTTTCCCTCAATCTCAGTATTCTTGGTCAAATGCCCTAGAACTTCTCACTGGCTGTTAATAGGATACATTTCAATGTTTTAGTGGAAAGCAGCCATTCTAGATGGAGGTATGTGGACAGTGCTCTGTGAACACTGAATGCATTTGTATGAAGTTCAGGTATTTAGCYCAGTTAAGCTCCGCTTTTTGGGGAATGTTCAATTTTAATAGTTTACTGAATTATCTTGAAAGCTGACTTGCACAATATAAAGGTTATTTCCCAATTTCTAGTTCAYTACTTTGACTCCAGCTATTATGGAATGAACTTTGTGTAAATACCATGCTTAGAATCAAAAACATGTGCTGAGTTCAGAACAAAATAAAACCACCCAAACATTGTCATCTTCACCAAATGCTGAAACTAGTAGTACAAAGTCCTTCCAGCAATTACATCTATTTAAAAGAGGGTAAAAAATCTTTTACTTTGTTAAAGAGACAATGTTGAAATGAGARACAGGTATTTCCATAATGGTTTTTATAATATTTACTGTCTTGATAGAAGCTGAACCTGAATATATATGTTTAAATTCTTGTTCCTTTTTTTTTCTGATAGTTCATGGTGATGCTCTCTACTAAATGTGCTGTAATTTTCTTTTTCTCYAGAAGAAAATGGATAACTTTGAATATAGTGACATACAAGAATTTGCTACAGATGTTAGATTAATGTTCATGAGCTGCTACAAACATAATTCTCCAGATCATGAAATAGTTGCTATGGCAAGGAAACTTCAGGTGAGTTACCTTTTAAGTCAGACTTGAAAAAGAATAGATCATCTCACGCACTGATGTAGAATCTACTAATGCAACTATTGTGATGCTGTGTAGTTCTACAAGTAGTAGCTTCATAATGCTTTTAGAAATCTGAAAAATATGCTGTTCCCAAACCTAACTCTTCAGGATGTTTTTGAAATGCACTTYGCTAAAATTCCTGATGAACCTGTTGCAAGTGATCATCTGCCACAGCCTGTGAGAGAAATGACAGAAGCTTATTCTAGTGAAAGCAGTAATGATAACACATCTGAAGAAAAATCATCTGAAGACTCTGAAGAGGAGAGAAAAGTGCACCTTGAAAAGCTTCAGGAGCAAGTAAGCATTAGTACTTTATGTGTGTGACTAAAGATCTCTCTGACAATGCCACTTTCAAATGTCTATTCCACAGCTTAGTAAAAAAGATCAGTTTTTAAAATATCTTAGTCACTTGTATTTCTAATACAGAATTATTTTCCCATCTGGAAGCACGGCCAAATAGTGCCTCAACAAACACTACATGGTTTTAGTATTCTACTACTCTTGCCTACCCCTTCTTTAGAGGAGTCTCAAACTTTTTAAAAAATAAAACTGTTTTCTTGTGGTATGAGTCTCCAAATATTCACATGTAGCTTAGTGGCATAGTCTTCTGCCAGGGGCATTTCTTTCATATGGTTGAAAAGCATTGTTCCTACCCTCAGTCTCTTTTGAACCACACAATAGCAAGTCATTAAGTTCTACTTCAGAAAGCTCAGTATGAGAGAGAAGGGACCTCATGCAAGCCAGTGAAGCAAAATYATGCTTCATAATAACAGTGGGTTGGGCATTGCTTCTGCATGAATGTAACTTTTTTAACCCATTGCTGTTGTTTTTATAAACTCTGGGGCAAATTAGCATTTGTTCTGCTAATCAAATGAGGGACAGTTTTCAGCCTTGTTAGATTAGCATCACCAATGTATAAATGTAGGCAGAAGGACAAATCCAAGTGTTCAAGTCAGCCTTTGCAGCAGTGAGGTATGGCAGTGTATCTGATTTCTAATGTCATCATCTGACTGTCTTATGCTTCCTGAGGTTTAAACAAAGTTAAGCACTTCTCCTGAATTCTTAGTGTGTCCTGACTAGCCATTTTATAYTGCAAAATAAGATGCATGACTGTAGTCCCACTTGCCTAATTCAGCAATGCTGTAGAAATGTAACCTAATAAGCATATATGTGTATCTTAAATGCTTAAAATTAAAGAAAAGTTACTGGAAACCCCTAGAGTGATTTTTTTTTTTTTTTTTTTGTGCAAATCCAAGAGTTCATGTCCCCAAGGGTAATTATTTAACTGAACCATTGTGACTATTGCCTTGCAAAATTAGAATTATTTTAACCTTGAATTTTTTTGGGGGGGGTGGGGCGTGGTTTTCTTGAGAGAATGCTAGAAGCCACATGCTGTTAGAAATGTCTGCATAAAATGAATAGGAGAATCTGTGACTAAGCTACAATACAGTAAAACCTTTGGAAAATAAATCTAATTTGAAAAGCAAACATCCTATTAATAYCCACTCAGCTGCCACAAATTTCCTGTGGTTTTTAGGACCAGTTTATTGTTCCTTCTATAATGCCCACAGTTATCAACATTTTGAGGGGKTTTTTTTTGGTTTGTTTTTGTTTTCGATAGCTTAAAGCTCTTCACCAGCAGTTGTGGGCTTTGACCAAAGCATGCTTATCAAGACCAGAAAAGAAAAAAGGGAAGGCTAAAAGCGAGAAAAGAAAGAACAAGGAAAAAGCTGAAATAAAAAGCTTGATTCAAAAGAAAAAAAATCTGAAATACATGAAGAAATCCAAGAAAAAGCTGTCTTTAAACATGTAAGTGTGGGGAACTTGTGTGGGTGTCAAATTATTTTAAACTGCTGTTACTGCAGTATACTTTTTTCTGCAGTCAATCAAAGAAAACCATGCAGCAGGTCTTGTTGGCACATAAGTCAGAAGATGAAGATGGTGCCAAACCTATGAATTATGATGAAAAACGACAGTTGAGTTTGGACATAAATAAACTCCCTGGAGATAAGCTTGGGAAAGTAGTCCATATAATACAGTCAAGAGAACCTGCACTGAGGAACTCCAACCCTGATGAGATAGAAATAGACTTTGAAACTTTAAATGCTTCAACACTCAGAGAACTAGAGAAATATGTAGCAACCTGCTTGAGGAAGAAACAAAGAAAGCAGGGTATGTATCATAAATTATTTTTTTAAAGCTCACTAGATTTGCTTTCTGGTTTGCTTTCATGTTAACTTGTTTCATATGCAGCTAAAAAACCAACGAAGTCAAAAGAAGAACTTAATTCTGAGAGGAAACAAGAGCTAGAGAAGAGACTGCAGGATGTCAATGGTCAACTAAACACAAAGAAGGAGAGCTTCAAGAGTAATGTGGCTTTTACTCATTTGTAATRGAAAGTGGGCTTCCCTTGGGCTTCAGTGCTGTTAGGCAGTTGGGGACTTTCTCCTCAGAATAGCTGGGGTCTTAAGCTTCCCACTGCTAGTCTTAAGATTCTTTCTATGCTGAGTGAGTTGGAGTCACAGCAGCAAATTTGTCCAGTTACCTGTCCTGTCTAAAGCAGCTTCCTTGTTCCTGTACCTAATACTTTATTACAGCTAAAGATGGTAACAGCTTCCGAAATTGAGGGACACTGAACAACTCCCTCATGCTAACATATGAAAACGTGGTGGGGAGTGTGGAGGGTCACACAGTCTATTTGCAGTTCACTTTCTGTGGCTTGGAGATGCAAGAATAACCAATTCTGGTCACCCTTGTTAGCTGGCAATGTCACTAATGCTGTCATGCTAACAAAACTTGTGTATCAGTGGCAGGTGTTATCTTAGACTTAAGGATGCCTCCTAGGGGAATCAATTCAGGTTTTTCAGGCAATAATGCATTTCAAGATCAAAGCCAGAAATTCAGTGCATACTTGAGCTGCACACTTACTGATGGTTCTCATCAGGGGCTGAGAATGGATCAATGCAGTTAAATGCTACTATTAGAGGTCAARCTGTTCCTCATTACAATAGTGAGTGCTATTATTGCCCTCCACTGGATATCTACTTAGCTCATATGTAAAACCAGTTAGTTGAAATGACAGAAGCAGTTCTATCAGCATTAGCTCAGTCAAGTCTTCTTGTCTGGAAAAAGAGCCCAAGACTTGAAAATTCCCAACAAAGAAAAGCTTAAAGAAGCAGCTGAAATCAATTATGAAGTACATGTTGTGAGGAGAGGRAAGAAGCTGACTAGGAATTCTTTACAACTGGCATCTGGCTTGTTTACAAGAGCTAAATCTGGCACTTAACAGACTTGTGTCCAGGGAAGCAGGTATCCATGTAACTTCTCATTTTCAAAGCTTCCATCAGAGCAAAAACTTTGAAAAAGGTTTGACTGCAAAACCATTATAAGCTGAGTTAAATCAACCCTGCAGATGCAAAATAGTCAGATGGTGGGGAGGTGGCAAAAARTGGCAATTTGCGAGTACACATGGCTAAGGAAAGAAGAGCTGGCTGTAGATAAAGAGTTCTGCACACAAGTTTGGCAGCAGCAATAAGTACAGAAAAAGGCTCTTAACAGCAGGAAAACTTAYGGGAGAAAACTGCTTGAATTGTGTTTTAAGACAGTTCAGTTTTAATCTATAAATTATATCTATCAGAATAGTAAATTGTGTGACATAGCTTATCCTTGAACATTTTATTCAACTGGCTTGCTGCTGGCAAATCCCACTCATCTCCTTTCTTGAGGAAAGATGCTAAATGGACAGTGGACAAAGAAGTAAGATGAATTCTTATATGGGAGAATAGGCCTAACAAGGTTGATCCTAGTCTTGTATATAAAGAATGCTATATTGCAGGTTGTTCTGAATTTTCTTTTTCTCCTGCAGTTGAAAACAATGCTGAGTCAAGTACTGGGCCAAGCAGACTGAGCGACAGCACCACCTCTTCAGATTCTGGCAGCAGCACTAGCAGTGATTCTAGCTCCTCAGATAGCAGTGACTCTGAATCAGGTTAGAGATTATTTTAGCATTTGTTTAGGTAAAATACCTTATCTCTGTTAGCATCTACTGTTYTACTTGCTTAGCAAGGATTTTAGTTATCTTTGGTTTGGTTTGCTCCATTGTGAAGGMTCAATCCCAATGCTATGAAATTAATGCCTTAATACTGAGATTCAAGGTAAAATAAAACAAAGCCCAAGAATTAAACAACCAAACCCCACTATATTCATTCAACTTATCAGTGAAAATCTTTAGGGACCAAAATAAGCTAGTAAAAGGTTTGTGTATSCAGCCTGGGCACTTGACTATTGGGCTTTCGCTTACTCTTGTAGCTTTGATTCCTTTCTGAAAATGTGATTCACTTTGTTTTCATCTTCTGGTCTGCAGCATGTAGGATGAGCTGAGCAACAAAATGCCTACAGCATTAACTGTAGAGCCAAAATACACCCTGGTACTTAAGTGGTTTCAAGCTTGTTTGAAGGATATTATAGAGCCACAGCATCAGAACATTGAATGATGTTTCTCTGTGCACAGAACTCTCTTTAGTTTTCTAGGAYAGAACAGAACTGCCAAACTGGAGGTCTACAGTGTAGATCTCCATATGAGGTATAAGGTGAGATGAATGCTCAACCGTCTGCAATGTGGGGAAGCAAACACAGTAAATCAATGGCAATGAAAACCTTGATCCTGCAGGAGTCTTTGTGGTCTCTTTTTATATCTGGGTGAAGAGCTCTAAACACATCAAGCTCAAGTCCAAGTATTCAAGAAAAGAATGTTCCTTTCACTGTGAGGTTTGACTCTAGGTACAACTGCAACTCACACCTTGTATGTGTGAATAATGAAACATATGTGAATGACTGATTTGGTTTTTTTCCATCCCCCTCTTTCTGCCCACCTCACGGTATTTACGGTTACAGAAACCTGTTCAAAACAGACTGGAGCCAGGCAGAACTGTCCAGCTTCTGTGGAAAAGTCTAAGGTAAACCTGGCTGGAACGGATGTAATATTTTTGCCCTAAACAAATGATAACATTATTACACAATTAACTTGTGAAATATAGTTATTTTTTTARCATACAATGGTGCTAGAAATGATGCAACTTTATCAGGAAATAATGAATATGCCTTGAATGCTATTTGTTCTGTAGGACTGATTGATATGAAGATGTCATATGAGCTGTTTGTTAAAAGTAGTTTATGCATCTGTATAGAATAGRTGTACTGGGAGAACTTCTGAGGCTTTTAACTTCTATAATTATTGAGATGATTATGGGTTTGATGAAGAAGGGCAGAATATTCCACAAACCCCACCCACCCCCCAAAAAGGCAAATACTCTCCAAATCGATCTAGGAATACAGAATTGACATAACAAACAGTGCAAGCCCCACTTATTTTTTTTTTTTTTTAGTCTAGAATTAACCTCACTTCTACACCTGAAAATAAATAAATTGTACAATATGCCACTTATTTTCAGGATACTTTAATATCACATATTGGTATGGCATTATTAGAACCAACAGCAGTTTTATCTGGAAATAATTGTTAATGCCTCTTAGATCTAATTTTTCTATTCCTGTATTATACAGTGGGTGTCATTTCTTGTCAAGTTTAGCTGCCTTTAACAATTTCCCTTGAAGCTACCAGAGACAGAGACCTTGAATTTCAAAGCAAAATCACAGCAAAACCTTCATTCCTCTTGCAATAGACTTGTTTTCCCTTAAAGTACAGGAAACTAGGCTGCAAATTTATTATTCAGCTGTTCCTTCTGCATCTTCATGAGCAAAGACTCAGGGAAGGAATTATGCAACACCTTTTTTTTTTTTTTTCTTGAGAACTGCAACCTCTGCAGTGACAGAATGACAGTAATAAACTTGAGAAAACAGGATCCAGGAAATGAGCTTCAGCTTGGTCAGTTATAAGAGCCCCTTACTGATCTTCTGAGTAACAACAAACATCATACTCGAAATCCACACATTACATTTTGTTCTCAGGGGTTTTCTGTACTTGTCAGACAAAGACAGTGAGTGTACTTTATCTCATGGCTTTTTGTGATCTACACTCTTAGAAAATGATGGATTAGTGTAACAATACAAGGAGTACTGAAGCTGAAAAACAGTGGAATTGGGTAGTGGTGGGAAAAGAGGATCAAATTGCTATTAAAAAAAATTGGCTTTATTAACTATTCCAAGCTCTCTATAGAGAATGCCACATTTTTTTACAGAGGACATCCTGCAATGCTGTTCTGCAAGCACAGCCCTCCTCTCTTACTAGTAGCTTGCAAAATCATGGATCATCTGAACTGCAGCAGCAACCTCCCAATGTACTTCAAATGCTTCAGTGTAGATCACTTAATCYATCTGAACAAAATGCCCCGGCTCTCTCAGGTAATACTTTTATGGATGTATTTGACTGCTGAGGAACGAAGGGGTGTCAGGATCCTTGTATTGCCCAACAAGCTTATCTTGAGTTTTGGAGGTGATCAAGTAAATAACTGAAAAAGCTCTTGCAGAGTATGGATTACAAAGAGCATGATGCAAATTRAAGCATGGCAGCACTGAGAATTGGCTAAGGATTTCAGATTCCTGGGGCACTTGTGTTGGGGTAGAGTAGTATTARAACAGGAGGTGCTCATGCTTCCTTGCAATGAGATGGAAAAGGATACTTTAATGAACTTGGAGTTAGAGGAATTGTTGAATGCCTTAAGGCAGGAATTAGATGCTTAAACCTATCCTCATTACCCAAGTTAATATCTGAAATGCTTATTAACTGAATGTAAGGCTTGGTGCCATAGGTCCTCTGAATTTGTTGTTGTCTAGACACCTCAAATACATGAAGTTGCTTAGGCATTTGATTGAAGGAGCTATTCTTTTCCCTTCCTTCTTTCAAAAAGTCTAATAATGTCAGACATTGCTGAGATTTTGGTAGAAGACAGCAYGAACTGGTAGCTCATTAACTGAGAAATCAATTAAAAACTAATTAAAAATAGGTCTCTTAAATCATGTGGCTAGAATGCATATCTTCATACTGAGTTAGTCCACCGATCTAAACAGTGACCTAATTTTGAGATGTAGGACTGCATATTGCATGATAGGAGAAAARTCATACCCTACTTCTTTCTCAGGTATAATCTCAGCTGTGCCTGCTCTGCACAATGCTCCAGACCAGCAAACTCCTCAGAGTACTCCAAAGACAAATCAGTCTTCTGTCTCCCACTCCAGAAATGCTGCTCCAGAGGTGAATATGTGCTGTTCTTCATCAATGAATTAATTTCTAACACCATCCTTAAAGCATCTTCTTACCCTTTAAATAAGATGTAATATAATACTTCAGGCTTGAATTTGGTATGATGAAGGCCATTTAAGATTTACAACAAAAGTTTTCTTAAATACCATTAACAAAGTGATTCTTTAACAGGGTATTGCCTATTGGCAGCARCACAAAAGGAAGGTTTGGCTGATCAAGTTTATAGCATGCTATAAAGCTTGTTTTATTTCTTTTCAGGGATACAGCTTGAACTTAAGTAACCCTTGCACACTTACAGGTTAAAAGTCCACCCTATAAACCAACAGCTATACAAAAGAGGCAGATTATAGTATGTGTTTTGGTTTTCTGCAAATACTAGTTTCACAAACTCAGCAACACTGAGGCTCTAGAGGCTATACTGGAAAGTGTGTTGCTTTTCATAMCTTTTCCTAAAGCTATGGGAACTGGGGGTTTCAGGGTCTAGATGAGGTGGTAAAATATTTAGCCACTGTTGATTTCTCTCTTAATATGTTTTTGGAGAGCATCCTTGTTAGAAGGGCCTCTGTGGAACAAAGGAAGTTAATGATGTTACTGCAGCAAAATCACTTCCATCCTATAATGTTTAATAATCTTTCTGAATGTTCTTGAAAATTTAGTTGCTTTAATCAGGCTGTAATAACTTTCTTTTTGGCAATGGATAGAAACTACCTCTTGAATCTATGAGCACAAGAATGTGTCCTGCAAGTAAGGATGAAGAGYAGCTCACTTGTTCCTACTGGTGTCCATTGTCCAAGGTAGCAGGTAGTGCAAATTATGACTCAAGTTTGTGCAGCACTATCCTCAGTTCATACAGATTACCAGACAGSGTAATCTTGCACAGAGAAAAAACACCACTGAACTGAAGATCACAGCTACCCTGTACCCTGATCCACAACCTAGAGCGGATCAAGCAGCAACTGGCTTTAAGACAGCTTTCTTCTGCTGTACAATGTAAAGGGTTAAAGATCTCGTATCAGTTTCTCAAGCTCTACCCACTCCATCACTTGGGATTGCTGAGCAGTGCATATTCTAAATCTGAAGTCTTGATGTAYAAACTTGCTTTAGTTACCATAATATGAAAGAAATCTATTTCTTCCCTGGTGTCAACAGAAGCTAGAGCTGCAAGAATTTGCTGCTCTAAGCTTCTAAACCTTTAATCCTGATGCTCTATAATAAGAATCCTCATGTGCCARGCACAAATATTATGAGAATATTTTTAAGTCTAGTGTCTCTCCATACTTCATACCATTTTCCAGGTTCMCAGTGCTAACTGGAGTAAACAAGCTGAGCAAACAAGACATCTAGACAAATCAAATAAACTTCAAAACAAGACCAGCATGAGAACTGCTGATTCAATAACCATAAGTCAAGAACAAAGTATGTAATGTCATAATAAAAACTGTAACCATTATCAGGGGTGCAAAGTTAAAAAAGTATATGAACCTGGTTTAAAGAAATATAATAGTGAAATACTTGTAYGTTAATCAGTTTGCAGAATAATGGTGGGTGTGCAGTTTTCCCTTGTTTTTTCTTTTTGATTTGCTGCTTTAAAAAAAAAGTGAAATTAAATAGCTGGTTCTTGTTCTGTGTTAAAATAAGTAAAGCAAATTACTGTTTGATTTAAGAATTTAACTTTGTGAATTTAGTACTAGGGATAAGTAACCCAGTCTTCCATGAAGTCTGAGAATTGGTGCTTCAATCTGTTGAGCTTTTCTGGCCTTTAAAATGTCGTCTGCTGAAGCTTCATGGAGCTCTTTTCCCAGGGCACTTTGTGTGTGTGTTTTGAGTTATTATCTTTGGCTCTTGGTGACAAGGATCTGACAGTAAATCAATGTCAAAGATACTTTCACTATGGAATAAACTTGCAATTATTACAAGAACACTGGTGCTTCCAGAGTTGCATTTTATACCTTATATATTCCAAAGTAAAGAACTGACTAAGCATCCATGCTCTCTGTGTCCAGTGTTACCAGTCACAATTGTTTTGGTCTCCTTTGCTCCTTGCCCTCTAAACCAYTTTGATAGGGAGGGAAAAAGCTTCTGAAAACTTGATGAAGGCAGAGCCTGTTCACTGCTGAACTCTTTTATTTTTRCCAAAGGATAATGCTAATAAGTTGCAGTGTATTAGAGCAATTYTAAAATGGGAGATTTAATTCTCCATGATGTTCTCTTCAGTTTAGGGTCTTAACACACCAAGCCTTACCCTCCTTTGCTTAGACTGACAGCAGCTCCAACTGGTTCATGGCTTCAGCTAATACTTCACTTATTCATTTTCACTTATAAAGTTCTGAGGACTTTCTGAAAATCCCTTTTATGACCAACTGGATGAGGGTTTGATGCTTCAAAATTCTGGATTCAGACATTGAAAAACTTACCCTTTGCATAATAAAATGAAGTCCACATGTTACATGAAGTTTCTTATTAAGCATTTACTTAAATACTGGAACATCTCAAACTACAGTAGAAGATTGCTGCTGAATGAGATAAAATGTGTTGTTTGTCTCTGGTTTGAAACTATTTGGGGTTTTTTCCTCATCAAATAATAAAGAAGTAACAATATAGAGTATTTGTACAGCTGTAGACTCTTGGAAATATGAGGACTAGCTCTTTTAAAAAAAAAAAAGTGAATAGGGGTGCTTTAGCTGAGAATGAGTTTGCATGATCARTCAGGTACCCTTAGAGATGGAATCAAAAGGAAAGAGGGCTAGGTGGGAAGAGGAGGAAGTAAGAGGCAAAATGCTGTGTTGGGGCTTTCTGACCAAACATTTTGAGCATTTATGGGGACCTCTCCTAGAATTAACCAGGAGTTATTTTCTCATCTATAGTTGAGCTAACACTGGTTTTCCCTGCCCAAAAGTGGAGAGAAGTGGTCCAGTTCAACTTAAGCTTAGGAAATGTTTGGGAGAATTTCTGTCATTCTGAACCAAATAATAAACTGCAGTGTAAGTTTTAAAGTCAATTCCTTGAATGACTAAAGTTTTATCATTTAAATTAGAGAAAAACTAGTCCATAAAATCAACATGATTCGAAAGGGTTGTTTTTTTTTTTTATTCTTCCATCAGGTCTTAGTACACCCGATGATAAATGTAATGATAAAAACATACTAGAGCCATTGTCTGAACTTCTTCCAAGGAAAGTAAGTGTTGCTCAAGTTCTATTTGAGAAGAGGCTGAGTCTACTTACTAGGATGAATAACTCCCTGACCTGGGATCTTCTTTTGAAATCTATTATTTTTTAATTAGAATCTTTAGTGTACAATRGACCTTGGGCATTGTTATAATCTGTACAGCTTTATCTCATTTTTGAGATAAAATGAGATMTCTATGGACTCTCTTCATTTCAGAAGGTAAAGTGTACAAGATAAGTTTATATATAGATACCTGCCCATATTGTCATACTAAAACATGGCTTGTTTCATCTGGTTTTAATATTTAAACAAGGAACTCGTATTCCTTTATCTAGTTCTAATATCCAAGTTATTAGTGAGCTTTCCCCTGCTGATCCAGTAATAAAATTAGGAGTAGTGAGGAATATAGTATTAGTGCTGTTGGAAAACCTGTTCTGAAATAAGACAAAGTGTTTTAAGGATTAAAGGTATTTCTGGCAGTTAAGCAAAATATTTCCTAGCATACAGTAAGTTGTCTAAAATKAAAGGATTGAGACATTTTCTTATCTACTAAATTCTTGTAATCAGCTATTTGAAAACTTTAAATAAAAATTACTATTAACAGATCATGTCAACCTCTGGACCTAAGAAGTTTTCTGTGTATCAGCTGTTGAACTAAAATGTTTCTAGGATTTTTCTTTAGGCACTTAGCTTTCAGAAAGCTATTAACTAACATATTGAATTCAATTCCAAAAGTACCTATTTCCTTCATAAGTACATGCTTCTACTAGAAGCAGGATTTCTCAAGAATGCTGGTTTTATTCTGTTTTATGCTGTGAAGGAAATGCCACGGGGGAACAAACAAAACCCACAAGCCTAACATGAAAGTATTGTTATGTAAGGATTTTGTAGAGATTGGATGGATGTTCTCTGTATTAAAACCTTGTCAATGCACTCTACATAAACTCAGCCTTGTGAATTCATGTTTTCTGAAATAAAAAGTGGAGAGGTAGACTTAAATAGTAAGAATAGCTATAAAAGCTAATGATTGTTGGCATATTGCCAAAGACTCTCAAAATTGATAAGAAAGCMTATCAAAGTCTGCTCAGATTGCTGCATTTGCACTAATATCCTGCCAAAGGAAGGAGATTTTTGTTGTAGGTATTTCCAAATAGACACAGTCGAACAACCTTGTGTTAATGTAAGAATTAAGCAGGTAAGGGATRTCAGTAGTTGCAGAGCATTTTTTCCTCTTCTGTGTTTTCCTTTTTCTAATAACTTCAGGATGCAGAATTTAGGACTATAGATTCCTGGGCAAGTCTGTGTAAAACAATGAAGCTTCCAGCTCCAATAAAAGCATCTGCTGAGAGCTTCAAACAGTTCAGGGATGCAGTATTAAAGAGRAGTGGGCAAGAGCAGGAGTTAAAAAGGCCTCTGGTACAAGCYGAGAGGGAGCTGCAAAATCTTCCACAAGAAAACCAAAGGTTGGTAACCAGATATGTTTAAGTATTATTCTGTTTTTTTCTTGTATGGTACTGGGTGGCTTATCCAGGAGCAAGTGTTTTGAATTAGGTGATGGCCACATGTCAGGTGAAGGTGAGGAGCATCCCTSTCCGGAAGGGAAATTACTATGAAAGGATGTGAAAGGGAGCCACAGTTTAAGTGCTAGACAGTAATTTAAATGATTTGCAGAGTTCTATCAGGTTGTTATGGAAAAAAAAAGGACTTTTATCCTATACTGATCTTGTCCTGTCTTTAAAGGGGCCATGACAGCACAGGATTGGATGCCATGGCAGTGACAGACTGTGAGCTTGAAAAAGAAACACCTGAGAGCAAACTGCCCCAAGCTCAACAACATATTCTTGATCAGGACCGTAACTTGGCTAGAAAAATGGAACAAGAACGCAGGAGGAAAGAAGCAGTAAGTTATTGACTCTTGCTACCTGTTTTTTTTTTCCATTTTACTAGAGACTAAACAAGTATTAGGTCATGTCCTTATTTTGAAGGATCTGCATGATTGAAAACAACAGAAGAGTTAATCCAGAAAATGAAATAGGAAACTTAAAGTATGTCTTCAAGTGATGWAATATGAAAACCTATCTGTTTGGTCTTATTACTCCCATAAGCTTAATATAATTGTATGGTAAAATAAAATTTTGAAGAGGAGTCCCTGCCCTCCAAGTAATTTCAAACCTTAAGTCTTGCAAGCTGTCCATCCTATTTAATGTGTTTCATTTCAACAAAAGTGCTAGTCGTACTGTTCTGATGTGAAACACCAAGCCTGAGCCTTTTAAAACTAATTGGTTTTATTGGTTAAAGTAATTAATGTTTTTAATTGCTGCCTTTTTTAGATTAAACATTTTTTTTAAATCCATGGTGTTGTACAATGGAATGTAAGTACTGCAGTGTGAGACCATGCTGGATTCAGATAAATTTGACYGAAGCTTTCATCCTCCAGCTCTTTTCTGAGGGTTTCAACAACATGCATAAGCTTGCCATGACAGAGAAGACATACATTTKTGGGAAGATGCTTTATATGTTTTTTTTCTTAAATCATTAAGTATTTGACCTTCATAGTATTCATTAATGTTTGACTGCTCTGAAAAGACACTTGTTTGCTTTCTTGTAGACAGCTTGGATAATTGATGTGAATCTGCAGAGAGATATTATGGCATCTTTYGAAGAGTATCTTGAATGAAAGCAGTATTTTATATAGAACTTCAAACTACTTCAAATGGCACAGTTTTGTTCTAGTTAGTATCTTGAATGTTAAGAGAAGATAAAGATCTTCTCTAAAATGTTTTGTATTAAAAACTTGTTCATTAATACCTAAAGTGTTACAATATTTTTTTTCATTGCTTGTTTATAATATGTAATCTAGTGTGCTACACAGTGGAATGTAATTGTTCATTTTATCACAGTTTCATCTGTTGTGTATATATGGTATTAAAATATAATTTACTTTGCTTTACTGTGACACACCTGCACAGAATCTGGGCTGTGACAAAAAGATCTCTGTAATAGTGATACTGTCTAAGGGGTGTGTCACATTATTGTAATCATAAAAAAGGCTTCCATGAACACTATAATTTCAGCAGTAAATTTTATGTACTTGCATGTCTTTTAAGGCCCAGATGTGTTTAATGTATTTTCTGCTAACATAACATTTGTCTGAGTGTGCAAGCATGTTTCCTTCATAATTCTGGTTCTTCCCAGTAGGAAATGATCTAAAACAACTGGCCCTAGTTTGAAAGATTTTCTAATTAATGCAAGGTATTATTAATGTTCAACTAATTGTCTGAAGTAGAAACCAGAATGTAAAAACCATATATTCTTGTTGACTATATACAGCTATGGAAAATTAAGAATTGGACTAATAAAACATTGTTTTATGGAATCAATACCAAAACATAATGTGGATTACAGAAACATTGGGTGGAAAGGGTGCCTTTGAGACAATCCTCAAATTCTGCCATTGCTGKAATGGTATTATTTCATTCAATAGCACAAAGAGTGTGTATAACAAATACTCAAATTGGGGTATCAATCCTTGAAATATTCAGGGCTGTCCTGGCCTGGAGGCATGCTCAAGTGGGAGATTTGAGGACTTGGCTAGGACAGGGATTTGGGATGAAAGATGGGTTGTAATGTAAAGTGGTGCTGTTAGAATGTCTGGTTTCACATTCACATCAAAAGTGACCTGCCTTCRTTTGTAATTTATATATTATTAATAGCTATTTGCCCTGCAATAAAATACTGCAGTTCACATCCAGGACTCTCCACGTTGCTGTCACTCAGATACGCTTTCTCTCTGGGTTAATGCAAGATCWGGATCTCTTGCTTTGGAAATAGGAGATTGACAGAAGGAAGTGCAAGAATTCCTTCTCAGCATTCCATCCATTCTCTCTCTGCCCTCTATATGGGCATTGCGGGTATGAGCTGGTGCTTTTGTCCCTTCAAAAACTAATTCCAGCTTCCATGACTCTATGCTGTMATGAGGGCTTAAAGTCACAGTGTCAGTGCTGCTAACACTAATCGGATAAACCCGTTATTTGCAACCTCCAAGTCACTTGGAGAGAATAATCTGTTCCTGTCTCCAGACAGAAGGCTGAATCCAGAGGTAAGGCTTCCAAGTGTGAGTACCAAGCCTCTTAGAACTGTTTTGCCCAAAGCCATGACCACGCTCGAAGAAGCAGGAATACCACTAGTGTAGATGCCCCCTGCAAAYAGCAAGCTACTTAAATAAACTGTTAGTTACCTAGCAGTTAAAAGGTATACTAAGTTCTGTTACATTATTCCTTTACCTTTATCATTTGTGAAAACAGCTGYTTTAATGTGTCACTTGTGTACTTGTGTCTATGCTAGTAGATTGTATCTACATATAAATGAAAGGTAAGACAGTCATTAGCTTTAAGAAGTTCCTCAGTCACTAATAAATGAAATATGGTAAATTTCTTACTAAAAACTATGATTGGTCAGGCTGGAGGCAGAATCAGTGATGTGCAAAGTTGTCCTCTTTTGTCTTTCAGAATAACAGGCTTAGTTGRGTTGACAAAAGATGAGCAGGCAGATGGCACTTTATGGAGGACAAAGCACACTGTCAAAGCAYGTAAGACCATCTGCCCTGGGGTTGGTTTGGCTTGGCACCCATAAGAACAATAATTTAGAGCAGAAGATGAGAAAATCAACATATAAGGAAGACAGAAAAGTAATTGCTGCAGCTCTCGATTTTTCTTATATGTACAAGAGTCTAAGCTTTCTTCTGCAAAATCCTTGAAAATGCATGGAAGGTATCTCATCAAACAGGTTTGCCACACTTATGTGGACAGTGTGGTCCTAGAGTGCAAAGCAAACATTCCTCAGTAATAGAGGAATTCTACACCTTCATTGGAAAACAGGGTGGCTAAGGTAGCACAGRTGGAGGTGCCCAGAAATGCTGCACTAGGGTGTGCAGCAATTTCATTGTGTAAGCACTGCTCAGAACTGCTAGATCACCAGCACTACCTTCTTCCTAGCTCTGATACCGGAGCCATATACAATACCTGAAGATGGCATAGCTAAACTCCATAGCAAAAAGATTTGTATAATTTAGAAGTCTGACATGAAATGATTGAGGTAGTTAGCAATGTATAAAATAAAAGCAGACTTAGTTCTATTCTTGCGAAAAAAATTGGCTCTGCCTTTTTCTTTGTATAAGAACTACTGTGTAGCTTGGCCAAACACCTTTGTAGAATAAGGCACATCGTGGTTCCATCTTTATTCCTTCTTATATTCTAGATGACTACTGGCATTTTGTGATTGCTGTGCCTAAACCATTACTGGGCTTTCATCAACCTTTCTTTTGGAGCAAGTGAAAGCTTATGAGCAGCTCCAGGATTTCAAACATGTTTTCCRAGTTTTCTTAGGGGATGTTCATTGTGTTAACTATTTTATTGAGAAATTTGATGGCTMCTGTCATATAAACAACAGCCTTGATTTTTTTTGCTCCTGCTGAACTTCCTAGTTTATCCAAATGGGTCGCTGGTTTACTGAGGTGAACTTCAGGGAAAATTCTGCAGCTGCTTAGTCTGATACTGAGAAGTTGTGAAGGTTTCTTCTCTACAAGGTCATTAGTATGAAGTCTGATGCATAAGAAATTAGCTATATGCTAATCTTAGGGTTGGCGGTGTGAGTAATCTGAGCATGAAGGGAAAGCTCAGGCTTGGTAGGCATGATTCATATAATCCTACTGGAGTCTGCAGAGGTCGATGTCTGAACTGAATCATCYGCTTCTGATGTTCTTTCTCTTCTTGGCCAAGAGCATGAAGGAGCCTTAAACAGCCCTGCACCTTTTTCCCCAGTAGACTGATAAAGCCCCTGAGAATTGCTCAGCCCCTTAAGTTTGTAAGGCTTGTGTTCAGACAATGAGCAGAGATCATGAACAGTGTTATTCAGCATTGCCAGCTGATGTAGGTTGCTGGTATTTCATTTGTGTATTGATAACAGGAAGCTTGGCAGCTTTTCACAGCTACTTAAAGATGTTATCTTTAGTAACAGAAAATAAATTCAGATTAGTTTTGTAACKTGTTTAAACTTTTAAATTCATGAAAATGCAGTAACAGGCCATTTGTTATAACATTCCTTTTTGCTGCTTCAGTTTATTTGATTTTCTAAAATAGAAAAATTTTGAACTTGTTGAAACCAGCATTAATTCTATCACTGCCTCCAATGGGCCTAGAATTCAACACCAGTTGTAAGTCTGAATTTAGAACAAGTAGGAGAAAGAAAGCATTTGGTATGTTACAGACAAAAATCATCTATAAGCTGTGTTCTGTGCATAGTGAAAAATTATATATATTCTGTCTGCATAGATGCTTATTGCTTTTTTTAAAACTAGCTCACTGAATCATCTTAGAGTTAACAGATGGATGTTTCTTTGTACCAGCTTCTGCTTGCACTGCTGGGACAGAGCAAAAATATTTCTYGGAGCTAAGTTCTAATCCTACAGACTCATCTGGACCAAGAACAAATTTTGTTTATCATTAAATTCAAGTACACTTTGGCAACTCTGCTCTCTCCAAAGGGCAAGAAGTTCCACATAGGCCTCCAAAAGTCTGGAAYCTTTCCCTGTCCTCCAGTCTGAGATGAAAGGGATCTAGGAGTAAAGGTGAGGAGCCCAAGCAGTCAGTTAAATCAGGATTTGACATGCAAGCTCAATTATACTTCTCTTGTAGTCAGCAAAAACCATGTCCACATTTTGTTATCTCCTTGAGCTAATAAACTGTAATTTATTATAAGCCGCATTTTTATAACCTGTAAAATCGTTTCATATAGCTACACTTTTTCTTACCATTTTGGATTATGTGAGCCGTTCTAGTTTTAAGTTACCATTTACCATGCATCTCAGTAGGTTATTAGGAGGTAGACTGGAGACTTCTTACCCTGGCATTGGTRGCCTTGTATGAGGCAGTAATTCTTTAGTGTATGCTTGTAGAGATTTACTAATGGGCAGGCAGAGGATTGTTCAGCTTTCATCAGCCCTCAGGCATTGAGATATCAATACAGAATAAATTAAGTTCAGACAATTACACAGATCTTTTTAARAAATACTTACTAGTAACAGCATATAAGAACTAAAATTGTAATGTTTACAAAATCACCTTTAAATAGATAATAGTGAAGCGACTGTGACAGAATGTAGTCTTGAAAAACACTAGGGTGCAAGCACATAGCCCCATGCCTACAGCTATGCACCTCTGGCACGGAAATAAGGTAAGGGCGCTCAAGGGCACGCTCGCAGTTTGCAGTGCGATCGCTGCCGGGGCCTGGGGCAGGCATAGCAGCGGGGCTGGCCCGCCGGCCGCGGGCGCGCTGCTCCCAATGACATTCCGAGCGCGTTCCGATGTGTCTGGCGGCTCTGCCGGAGCGCGCAGGTGACAGCCGCGCCCCGCCGCCCCAGGGACGGCTTCTCCCTCTTTCGCCGCAAGTATCTGGGGAGCAGAGCCCTCCTTGGCCGAGCCCTGCGCAGTCGGGCGCGACCCCGGCCGCAGCGCCGCCGCCCCCGAGGCGCCGCCCGGGTCTCGGGAGCCCGGGCCGTGTGTCCGGGAGGGGCGGGCGGCCGGCGCTGTGCCC